AGACTCCCGTATGATGGGATACTTTTAGGCTTGGCTACCATTTTTTTGCTTTTCTTCTGTCTCGACAATGGCTGAAATGGCCTTCAGTGCTGGATCAAATTCCTCAGCTTCACAAATCATTCCGACTATTGGCCAGATGTTGTAGGCAGGCAACCGATTGTTCATCACATTAGGAGCTTCTTCATCTCGAAAAATGATTATTTCAGCTTCAATCTGATCTCCAACTACCCTTTTGAGGGTCCAACAGTCATCTATACTGTGTCTCATTGCTCCAGAGTGGTATTCACATATAGCATCAGCTCGGTGCGAGGGGGACTCAGGGTTCGAACGGTTCGGGGCCACTGGCTGCAATAGATTTAGCCTGATTAGCTTTTGGAACAAGCTTGAATACGATTTACCAATAGGGGTGAACTGATTCTTTCTGAAAGACTCTCTTATGGGAGAACTGTATTGGGGAACATTTTTTTGATGATTATATGGAGCTTCGTAAGGATGGGCATTTATGGAAGGTGGAGCTCGATTTTGTGGATAATGTTGTGGCCGCGCGTAAGATTGTGCACTAATCACCGCATAGGGAGGCAATGCCACGACATAAGCACCATCTTGAAGGGGGTAATAGTGTGGTGGGACAATAGGAGGCACATATGACTGGCTGAATCACCTACGGGCCCCCCTCGAGCTTGAAACTATCATGGCTCCCTCCTCACCCCCATTTCTGTTCATCAAACCCTTCGAACCATTTTGAACATCTGATGATGTGGCTTCAAAAGCAGCATGACTCAAGATTCGGCCCGTTTTTAAACTGTTTTCAACCATTTCCCCAATTTTGATAGCCTCAGCAAATGACTTTCCCATAGCGGACATCATGTTCTGGAAGTAGTCCGCCTCTTGGGTCTTTAGAAAGACCATGACCATTTCAATTTCATCCATTGGAGGCTTTACCCTAGCAGCTTGCTCACGCCATTTGACAACATATTCGCGGAAGCTTTCCACAGTTTTCTTTTTCAAATTGGACAAAGTGTTTCTATCGGGAGCAATGTCCACATTATATTGGAACTGGAGGACAAAATCTCGGGCCATATCGTCCCACACGTGCCAATGAGTAACTTCTTGATCCGTATACCACTCGGAAGCGATTTCGGTGAGGCTTTCCCCAAAATAGGCCATTAGCAGCTCCTCTTCTCCACCAGTGCCTCTCAACTGGTTACAATATCGTTTTAGGTGAGCGACCGGGTCTCCATGCCCATCATACTTTTCAAATTTTGGCATCTTGAAGCCAGCTGGCAAATGGACATGGGAAAACATATAGAGGTCAGAGTATGACACACTGTTTTGGCCACTCAGACTTTGCATGTTTTTCAGACTTTGTTCCAGGCTCTTCATCTTCCGAGCCGTTTCCTCTTGCGCGGGATTTTTAACAACCTTTTCTTGCTCCCCCGAGAGATCATATTGAGGAGGTTGAGTGAAAGAGTACGGGGTCACATATGTTATTTCTGGTTAAAGCTGTGGACCTTGAAAGATAAATATTGGAGGTGGTGCCATTGAAGATGGTGCCTGGGGGCGAACCACAGAAGGCATGCCAGGATCATTGGAGGGCATTAGAGGGTGCCCGCATGGGATGAGCGGGTTGGGCATAAGGGCGTTGGTAACCTCACCTAACCTGGGGATCAATTCAGGGAACCCAGGGATTGCACTTGGCGGTTTCCTACTATTAGACCAGGCGTCCCACATTTCCAATATGCGGAGACGCCTCATCTTATTCTCTTCAGCAGCTGCTGATTCTAGCTGCATAATAGCCGATGCCGGGCTATCCTCAGGACCGATGATTGGTAGATTGCTTGCAGAGGCCATTTGTGCCTTTGGATCTTGTGAAGGAGGGGAGACTAGACTACCAACAAAATCAACCACCAAAACCTTGCTAGTTTGCACATCCAATAACCTTATTAGTTTTGAAATATTTAACATATAGGAAATTGCACGTGGGGATGCAATGCACCTAACAGTTAAATGTTTCTACCGTGTGTTTGAATGGTTGCATGTTTCATCCCTGCCGTAACTAGCCTTTTTCACTTTGTACCTCTTTTCTTTTATTTCTTCCTCTCTTTAATCACTCTTGATTTTTTTTTATTTTGTCTCGTTTTTGCCGCTCTTTTATTTTTGCACTCTTTTTTTTTTTTGTCACTCTTTTTATTTTTTGTCACTCTCTTTTTTTTCTTCTTTTTTTTATTCACTCTCTTTTTTTTTTCAATTTATTTTTTCACTCAACTAATTTTATGGCTATGATCGAATCCGATGAGGATTGCCTACGTATCATGACGCCGCATGAATCAGATCTTCCGTAGTTCGGAATGATCGAAAATGGAGTAAATAAACTAAATTTTTTTTGTTGGAATTTTGAAAGAAATGCTTTAAAAGAAGAAAAGAAATATATGTATATTTTTTATTTTGATTTTTTTGTTTTAAACTATTTGCTTTAAAAGTAAAAAGAAAATATTTTTGTTTGAATTTTTATTTGTTTTCTCCTTTTTCTAAAGAAGAGAAGAAAATATTTTTGGATTTTGAATGTTGCCTCTTAATTTTCAAAAGAGGGACTTTTAAGAAAATGTTTTGGATTTCTGTGTTTTTATTTATTTACAAAAGCACTTCTAAAGAAAAGCGAAAATATTTTTGGACTTCAATTTTTTCAAAAATATTTTTTGAAAGAAAGACTTTTAAACAAGGAAAAGATTTTTTTTTCATTTTTTTTAAATTTTTGAGAAAAATACTTCAAAATAGAGGAAGTCCGTATTTTGGATTTTGATTTTTTTTTTTCCGTATGAAAGACTTTAGAAAGAAGGAAACTACTTTTTTGAGTTTTTAAATTTTTTTTTTTTTTTTAATTTTCTAAGGAAAGATTTCTAAAGAAGGGACTAAAGGAAAATATTTTTTTTGAAAATTGGGGTCGGAATCGATGAGGTTTGCTTACGTATCTCACATCCGGTGAGAATCAGACCCGCATAGTTTGGTCAGATTGACGGAACATGGGAAACATGACACTTGAAAATTTTGGCTCATTTTGAAATGACCTTTTTTTTCAGAATTTCGGCAGAGTTTCAGAATTTTCTAAATACCTACCTCTCACTCCTATTTTTGATTTTTGATTTTTTTCTCTTTTTTCTCTTTTTTTTTTTAATTTTATTTTATTTTCTTTCCCTATTCTAAAAGTCGGTCAACATGCAAGCCGAAACAAACAGATGTGCAAGTAGCACGTAAGATGCATCAGGATGGTCTTTCTAATTTGGGTACACCTGTCCTAGACGGACCCAACCCCTGTGTTGAGTCCCCAAAGTCAAATGCACGTGATGCAAACAAACGTTCCTACTAGGGATCCGGCGTGAGATTGTGTTACTCTAGGTTTAAAACCCTAGGTGTATTGTTCTAGACCTGGCTTACCCGAGCGGACAGCTCGAGCCGAGGGGGGCAGCGTACCGGGAATACAGAAGCTTCACCGGCTTTGCAACTTGTCTGAACCTTGTTCTAAAATTGGGATATGACTCTAACAGAAAAGAAGTCACACGAAGTGCACACTTCCTAGATGATTTAGAAGACTCAGGCAGAAGAGAGTTTCGTAACAGTTTTATATACAATTCAAGCAATATCAAAGCGGTAAAAAGCATCATTTAGCATATTAGGTTCAAACACGTAAAAATCATATAATAAATAAAAGCCAACTATAATAGTTATTCCAAGCTCGAATTCTGAACTCTGAACCAGAGATTCTGGGTTCTTGTCCCCAACAGAGTCACCAGAGCTGTCACACCTCCTTTTTATACACCCGAGGGTATATAAAGGAGTTTTTTCCAATTTAAGTGACATTATTCGAAATGAGACTATTTTATTTATCAGAGCCGCCACTTGGAATAATTTATGGTGTCCCAAGTCACTGGTTTATTTTAAATCCCAAATCGAGAAAAGTTCGACTTTATTTTAAAAGTCTACGAACCAGAAATTCTAAGTAAGGAATTCTGTTAACCCGAGAGAAGGTGTTAGGCATTCTCGGGTTCCGTGGTTCTAGCACGATCGCTTAAACTATTAATATTGACCTATTATCTGATTTACTACATGTTTTAAACCTATTGTGCATTTTTTAGCTTTATAACAGCTTTTATTTATTTAATTTTTTTTTTTTTAGGATTTATGGATTTATTTATTGAACAAGTTAAGATTGTCGTACACTTGTTTTTTTGGAACATTCCGTGAACCAAGCTACATGAAATGTACCCGCGATTCGCGACATGTTTATTTTTTATTAATATTCGAAGTTGTTATGATCGAGTCACATTAAATGCACATCCGAATTTGGGGATTAGGTATCACAACTATGCCACGAGAATCGTACCCATAGCCGTGATGATTTATTAACCGCGCCTAAAGCAAGCTACGGATGTTCAAGGGTGTTTTCTATACTAAGTTAATATTAATGCAAGGGCCATAGATTAAGCGATTCGATTGTGAATGGCTCGCCTCGATTTATTTTTAAAGATTTGTACTCAACTACACCAAGTTAATTGCAAGTCTCGTGGCCCGTTAAAGTTAATAATTTCAGATTCTTGCCACAATTTCACAGGTAATAGTCTACATTTGCTTATAGAAGCATGACATTGGATACAATATACGCACGAACACCAAGTACAGATTTCCAAACAGCAACATCACATTAAGGAAAATGGGAGAAAACGAGTCTTCTACTGCAATGAGGATTTAACATTTTTTTAAATAATAAAATAAGAAACATGTACATAGCAATATTGAAGCTCGCATACCGATTATTACTTGCAAACAAATTAATGCATGAGTAAGAAAAGCCAAAACCAAGAAAAACAGATGAATACATAGGAAAATAATCCCAAAACTAAGAAAAACTTTGTATATTACATGAATTTTAAAACCAACAGAAAGTATTCATATTAGACAAATAAGCTTATCTACATAACTAAAAATTCACAAATAAACGACTCATCAATCAGAGACAGCGCAATTACTATTCGAAATAAACATCAAAGCAAGAGTTTCATCTGTTCAATATCAAAAGTAGAATAACTTAAAGAAGCTCGTAACAAAGGGATAAATACGGAGAAATCGGACCTTTATTGCTGAAATGTTTCAGCAATAACCAAGAGTTTCTTTAAAGTATTGCTATGGTTGGAGGTTAACAAAGCACGGTACAACAGTAGAGCAGCAGCAAATTTTCAACCATAGCAATACTTTAAAACCCAAAAAAAATAGAAACAAACAGCAGCGGCTCGTTCCTGAAATTTCCTCTCATTTTAGCAATGGTTTCGGGATTGATTTTGCACTTATTGTGAAGCTGTCTTGCTGAGTGTTTCAGGTGGTTTTAAGGTGGTTTTTGGACTGTTTTTGGTGCTATATGGTGGCTGATTTGAGCTGTTTTTCGTAGCTAGTTTTTGAGGAAAAATACCCGATAAAGAAGAGCTAAAACATGGCCAGCCTCTATCAAGTTATGGCATTGTTGCTGCGTTTTCTTGCCCTTCCCCGTTCCCTCTGTTATTCGCTCATCTCCTCATCCCTGTTTTCCTCGTTCTCCCCTTTTTTCTTTTGTGTGTATTGTATGTGTTATTTAAGAATGAGTGGGAGTGGGTGAGGAACATGAGTGGAGAGAGTGAGAACTTGAGTGGGCAAAGTGAGGGAAATGGGAATTAAGTGGAGAAAGTAGAGGAAGTGGGAAGTGAGTGAGAAAAGTGAGAATAAATTAATATGATAAAAAATTAACTGCTCACAACATCGAACCGTCATTTGAGATCTATAAATACCACCTCTCCAATTGATTTCAAACTTTGCTTTAAACTTCTCATTTGCTTTGATTGAATCTTCCAACCTTCAAACTTTTCTTGCCTTCTTCATATCTCCACCAGTCTTACCCCTACTTTCTACCTCTTTCACTTATATATATATATGGATACGACTTCTAAAACAGTGCGCAAGAGGAAAAAGCCTCTTCTTCGAAGCCAGACGATGACAAGACGCCGATGGAGCCACACGTAGAGGTGTGTGTTCCTAGGACGTGTAAACTAACTTCTGAGTTCAAAGTGGACAGGGCCCCTTCAGTTCCCGGTCGGTGTGAGCCCGTGTGCCGTTACATTTGCTCGATATCTGAAGGTGGTCTTGAGCAAGTGAAAAAGGACTGCAATTGGAGTAACAAAGAGGTGGTGATTCCTTCACCAGAGGAGGATATCACCACTTATGTAAAAGGGTTTTTGAGTGTTTACACTTACCCTTTCACATTGGGGCCAGTGGATCCGGTTATACTCGATTTCTGCCGCCAATGTCGAGTGACCCTGGGGCAAGTCCACCTTTCGTTCTGGCGCATCGTGATCCTGCTCAGATTCTTTTCGAGCAAGGTCGAGGGGATGTCATTCACTATCGACCATCTAATAAGGTTGTACAGCCCTCGGCTCTACAGAGGTGGTTTGATAAAGCTCCAGCGCCGGGCTACGAAAATAGTGTTCTTGAGCATAGATGAAGACAAGGATCGGGGCTAGATGGGTTGGTTCATCCGATTTCGAACCTCTGACTTGATTTCTGCCGAGAAGATGTCATTCCTCGAGGAATGGAATATGAAACATAAGTCTGATTTTCGTTGTTGATGTTTGATTTCTTGTTTGATTGATTTCTCTCCCCGGTCTAAGTTCCATTTCGTGGTGCAGCTTCTGCTTGGTTCCCCGGTGCGATCCTGGATCTCGAAGGTTGGGTTCGCCAACTAGCCTCCACCTCTTCATACTCCGAGCGTTGCTGGCGAGATTTGGCCAACAGTCAATGAGAAGCAAAGAACCATGGTGAGTTCCTCTATCCATATGCCGATTCCTTTCTGTAAGAATATCAATTTTTGACTTAGTCTTCTCGTGTAGGCCTCGGAGAGAATGTAACCATGAAGCCACCTCCGCCAGGTGAAAAGGGGGTTCCACAGCCGCCCAAGGAGAAGAAACCACGAAGGGCCTCGACCCTTGGTACGCCGAAGCTCTTCCCGAAAATCGAAGATTGATACCGTGGCTTTGCCTGCCGATGTGGCTCAAAGACTTCGGGAAGATGACGAGGCAACACAAAGTGATGATGACAGCATTTTGATAGCTCCTAGGGAGGGGAGCACTGCAACTTCTGAGGTTGCCGATCCGACAATGAATGAGTCCGCTCGATCTCATGTTGGGGGAATCTCGGAGGGAGATGCGAGCGGAGTCTCCGAGCCATCGAGCGATAAGGGTGCTCCTCGCTGCGCCAAAAGATCGGCGGATGTTCCCGAAGGGTCTAGCTCCGAGGCCCTTAGAAGAAAGGAGAATGCCCCGAGCGACTTGCTTAAGGAAATAAATATAGACGATTCACCGCCCGGTCTTTCATTTTCTGAGGGGCAATTCCGAGACGCTCGGGCTATGAGAACTCCTGATGCGGAGCTAGCCCATGGAGAGAGTGACATATTTTGAGAGTGCTTCGACGGGGTCGAAGATGATTCCGAGCCAGATGCGTCGCTTGTTTTTAACGAAGCTCAGCGTCTCTTGAAACGGGTGAGTATTTTTCCCTTTTCACTCATGCTTATATTTAGTTCGTATCTTTTCAAGACTAACTCATTTCCTCATGTGCAGGCTTTGGTGCTTCATTGAGAGGCATCTTTCAAATATCGGGCGGAGTTGACCCGATGTAAAGCCGAGCTCAAAAAGCTCGTAAAGGAGAGGGATGACCTGAAACTCCTTCAAAAGGAGGAGGAGATTGCGACCATTCGAGCTGAACTTATGAGAGCTCGTCAAGATCATACTGAGCTTATCAAGAAGGTAACGTAATTTCTTGAAACTTTGTAAAATATTAATTCAGATTTGGCGATGAACCATTCGGTTTCGCAGTTTCAGCAGAAGGGCGAACTGGTGCTGCAGCTTCAAGAAGAGGCCAAGATGAAGGAGGCTGAAACTCTAGGGTGGAGGCAGCACATGGAGCGTCTTGCCTCGGAGAAGGATTTACTTCGAGCCCAGTTAACTTCAGCTGAGCGCCAGCTCTAGGGTGCGAAGGAGGAAAGTCTATCTCGAGCCCTGAGTACCTCGACCGTCAGTTCGACCCTCTCTGCGTACTCTTCCATCAGGGTCCCCGCCTAAGTCCACATTCAGAGCAATATGCAAACCGACACCGACTGGGTTGATGGGTGGTGCTCCTCCGAGGTCAGCTTGTGGCACCTCAATTCCTGGAGCTATAATATTCTCGTTCTCTCCGTGGAGTCCGAGACTGTTGTCATCATGAGTAGCTGTGTTTTGTGAGTTTGACATGATTTACCCCGAAAACAAAATTCTTGACAAGAAACAAGCGTAAAATAGTGTGTTATATCAGAACTAACACTGAACAATCACTATTATCCTTAGCCCCACGGTGGGCGCCAAACTATTTACATTGAAATATGAGTAACAATTAAACTTATAATGTGGTTATAAGGATACGCGATCTAATTCAATGTCAATTGATAAATAGCTAAATAAATAAAGGAATTAAGAGGTTTAAATGGATCAAACTCGTGTAATTGCAAGTTATCGACCCTGATCTGGATTAGACTCAAGATCAAATGCCAAGAACAGTAAGAGCATCAACATCAGTATGAATAATAAGAACTATAAAGAGTCAAGAACTAATAAAAGAGTGTTTGTATTTCTTAGTAGAAGCGTAAGCAAGAACTCGTGTATGATGATAATTGTATTGATCCCTTTACAAATGAATATAGTTTCTCTTTATATAGTAGAGGTATCCTAAATAAGGTATGACTCTAATTTCGGAAGTAAAATACATGATTAATATCATTAATCGTTAATGGTTCTACCGGTTCCGAGATTCTCGCCCGGGTTGATGGCCGATTGCGGATATTACGTGATTCTGTTACTGCAACGTTGATCTAGCCTGATCTCGATTCCTCGGTCTTCACGTTCCTCGAGCCCGAACTTGCTTCAGCACAGGTTCACTCTCGAGGCATACCGTCGAGCTCATGAAATCGGGTCTGCTTGATTTTTACCGTATGCATGCTTATATAAAAAGAAATTAAAATTCTTAAAACATGCGCGACGCGTGTTCTCAACAACAAAACTTTTGATCTGGTGGTATTGAGGAGAAAGTATTCACGTAATAATACCTTCGCCTTGTGTGAATAAACTAAAAATAAAACTTAATTACGTACCTACTCTTTTCGTCATAAAAATTATTTTACTATTTCAATTTATATTTTAAAATATTATATCAATTTTATTTTTTTTGGATTCCCCTCCCCTTTTGATTTCTTTTTAAATCCAGTTTGTTGGAGTTATTGCTCCTTTGGTGACTCTAACCCAAGACTCTGAGGTTGTAAGTGGGGGTGCTGGATACAATATATTGGCAATTTGATACGTTATATCAATTTCAACTTAATTAAAGCATTTGAAGATAGTTTGAGAAGTATTTTATTGTTTTCAACTTTTTAAATAAACTTTTTCCTCGAGAAAAATTTAATTCGAATTCTATCTTTCAAGTAAATAATGTTTTTATCTCACAAAATTATAATATTTTTTTTAAAGTGAAATGTATATTTAAATATAGATTTAATTTTTAAATAATTTTTTTTTATTTAACTTAAAAAATTACTCTTATTCAAATCTCACATTTTTTATGTCCAAAGTCCAAACACATACTTTAAATACTTGTCTTTCTTCAAATCAATTCTTGTATCCACGTGTCAAATAATAAAACCATAATTTCATAGATTTAGATATATTTCCGCTTCACTAGTTGTACTCATGGGTATACACACTCCACAGCGACAAAAGTTTCTATAAATAGTCAGTAAGAATTACATAATGGAAAGCACTATACAGTTGTAGGGCAGCAGCGATTTTCCATTACTCTCTCTCTCTTCTGTTGGCGGTGTTCTCTTTCCAATCTCTTCACCAACAAAAAGGTCAGCTTCTGATCTCTGATTATTACCTCAAAATCTGTTACACGCTTTTTGATTTCTCATATCATTGATTTCTTGAAGAATGAAATGTAACTAGTAGATAAAATAAAACATACTTAGGATTCATACCGACTAGTATTGATCCAAATTATTTATGGGATTGAGGTGTAGTTGATTAGTTTATTGATTGATTTTGTTGTAATTGTGATTTGATGGTCGGCAATCGATATTGATTTGTGAAAGCATGATTTAGGTCAAGTAGCTGCTTGAGCTGGTGTAATGAAATTCTTTAATTAAGTTGGTAATGGGTTTGTGTTTTTGGTTGAGTATTTTGATATGGGTGTGAGAATTTTTCAAGACCCTTTTGAGTTTCGATTCAGAATTTTAATATTTGATCTGTGGTCTTCCCCCATTTTTACCGTTCCTAGTCTATCGGAAACAGTCTCTCTGCCTTTACAGGATAGGGTTAAGTTTGCGTACACATTACCCTCCCCAGACCCCATGTTGGGATTAAGCTGGGTTTGTTGTTGTTGTTACCCTTTTTGATTTATCATCATTAGTACTAAGCATTAAATGTAACATAAATAAAATAAAAGAAAGAATTTATAAAGGTGATTGATTGATTGATTGATGGATTTGTTGTAATTGTTGGTTGGCCATTGAAATTGATTTGTACAATCCATGATTTTAGATGAAGTAGCTGCTTGACCTGGTGTAATGAAATTCTTTCAAATAAATTGACCTGCGTTTGTGTTATCGTTGAGTGATCTGATGTGGGTGTGAGAATTTCTAAAGACCCTTTTGATTTTCTGTTCAAGGAATTGATTTTTGATTTGTGTTCTTGATTGATTTTAGACTTTGGAATCAAATGAGTGAATATATTTTTTTTTTCTTGAGAAGGTGCTTGAATTTGCTAATTATTTGTCTTAGTGTCTTGCTCCTTTGTTAAATCGAGCAGCATTTCATGATTTCTGGAAGCATCATTTAGATTAAGTAGCTGCTCTAGCTAGTGTAGTGAAATTCTATAAAAGAGAAATGTCTTGGATTTGCGTTTCTTTGATTGTCTTGTTATGGGTGTGAGAATTTTTAAGACACTTTTTGGTTTGTCGGTTAAATTTGATCTTTGATTTGTTTTCTTGCTCTCCTATTAGCTCTCCCCCATAAGAACCCCATGTGCGAGTTACCCAGCATACGGCTCAAGTGGTGAAGGCCCTTCCGGTCGCGCTTGGTTAGCGCTCAGACGCAGCCAAGCTTACTACTAGCCGATGAATGTTGATGTCAACAACAACAACCCAGTAAAATCAAGTTCGTGAGGTCTGGGGAGGATAGAGTGTACACAGACCTTACCCATACCCCAAGGGTTAGAGAGGCTGTTTCCAATAGACCCCCGGCTCAAGCAGACGAAAAAGACAATATATCAGTGCCAACAACAACAGAAAGCATAAAAACAATAACAACATCATAAGTACAAGAAAAATTAATTTTTCTTATAGGATGCATTTTCCCAAAAAAAAAAAAAATTGCTTATAGGATGTGAAGATAACTATAAATGTTTCTTTGGATTTTGTCTTCGCCACTGGCAATGAGATTGGTTTGTGGAATCAAATCATTCATTCCATAACCTGATATTTCTTATGTTTAAAATAAATAGCTGCTTGAGTTGGTGTAAGGAAGTATTTTGAAAAATTGGCCTGCAGTTGAGTGTCTTAATATAGCGTATAAATATTGTTGAAAACCTTTTTTGGTATCTCTCTCACACACACACACCAAAAAAAAAAAAACATTTATCTTTTCTATCACTGACTATCAAATTGAATAAACCAAGTTGTTTATTATATACACTCAAATGTATACTTTTGTGATTGTATAAGACAGTAATTGTCATCTGTTGAGAAATATTTCTTGCTAGAAGCCTGAAAACGGGATCGATGAGTCTAACACTCACCTGAAAAGGAAATTGGAATTCATTCACAGCATTATATTGCGTTTAATGCTTTTCTAACTTAGGATGTTATCACAATACTCTAGTGATTGTAAAGATAAAGGGGCTTATGTACCTAATTCTTTGGTCCTCCACAAACTCTCTAATGGTCGGAAAGGCACATTGCCTTTTCAATGGGTATATTTTTGTGTTCTTAAAGACAAATAAGTGGATATTGATTCTTGTGCGAGTGAGAGTGGAAACGAGGGAAGGGGAAGAAGGGGGTTTGAGAACGTAACCAAATGAACATGCAAATGTTGGAGAATGGTATGCCAATAATATTGGGTTGAGAATTAGTTGACAGATACTTCATTCTAAGTTGATTTGAGGTGTGTCTGTAATTCAATATAATGCTGAGCTTGTGAAATGGAACATTTGAGGACTTTCTTTTTTGGTAATTAATTCGAGTACTTTTTTTTGCAAGTGTGTTGGTAGAATGGTGTTTCAAACAAATTTTGAACCCAAAAATACCTATATTCATTTGTTGCTAACTCGTATCGTCAATAGACATTTGTCTGCATGATTTGCTTGCTTACTGTTTCTATTGTTCAGGTTTAGAAAACCAAAAGTAAGAGATGGTCAGAGCATATTCACAAGAGCACACATATAAGCACCCATGGGAACGTGTAACTTCTGCATCCTGGCGCAAGTTTGCTGATCCGGAAAACAAGCGCACTCTATCACACATCCTCGAGGTTGACACATTGAACCACAGGCTTGATCCCAGTTCAGGGAAGCTTTATACTACTCGTGCCATAACTATCCATGCACCAGGACCATGGTTTGTTCGTAAAATCATTGGTCAGGACATCTGCCACTGTGTAGAATCAACTGTTGTCGATGGCCAATCTCGGTCAATGCAACTCTCCACTCGAAACATTAGTCTCGAGAAGTACATAGAAGTGGAAGAGAAAATCAGGTATGACCCTCATCCAGATAATCCAAATTTATGGACAGTCTGCAAGCAGGAAACGAGTATTAGGATTAAGCCGTTTTCAGCTCTGGCTTCAATGGCAGAGAAAATAGAGCAGAAGTGTGTGGACAAGTTTCAAGCAAACAGTGCTAAGGGAAGAGAAGTGATGGAACGGATGTGCAAGTACCTTGAAGCTGAATCCACCAGAGGCATTACGGCATGATTTAGAATCCAAATTTACGTTAGGCTTCTTGAGCGCTAGTATTCAACCCCTCCTTTAAAGGTGCGAGGTGAGTTCTTAATGATCACTGTTGGAGATGAATATCATAGCATGTAAAAGAGGACACCAATCATGGATTGTTCCTTCTCTACTTTTTGTAAGCTGTAGTAGATGCAATAACAAAGTTATCCATAGCATTTCATTGTGACAATGTTAACTGGAAAATACTGCAGTTTGAATGTGTAGACATTCTGTGCTTCATCTTTAATGGTTTAACCAATGATCTTATATTTATATCTTGGGGTGTATATAGGTCGGATTGGTTCGGATTTTGCAATTACCAAATCAAACCAATTGTGTCGGGTTATTAAATTTAAAGACCAAACCAATAAAACTCGGGTTTTTCAATCTTGGATTTTCGGGTTATTCAGGTTTTTTCTGGTAAAATCTTCGTTACACAAAACATATAACTTGTGCTTAAAATATTTCTTTAATCCTAGTAACATACAACTATGTAAGGTATTTTTCAAGAAAATAATATGAAATATGAGATGTATCATGGCATTATCCTAAAATATTTAATAATAAAGATAATAAAATTATGTAATATAAATATTGCTAATTAAAAAGTCATAATAAAAATAAATATAATCTAAAAGTACTAAGTCATGCTAAAATAAGTAGACTAATAAGGGAGTATTGATTACATGACTAAACGCTAAAGAAAAAATAAAAATAGGTTATGCATTTTTATTTGAATTATTGCAAAATAAAAAATAGATATTCAATACATTGTCGTTCGTAGTATTGAATTGAATATCTTTTGATAGCGTTAGTATTGTTTTGATTTTGGTTTGGGCTTATGTTAGCATTATTTAAGTTAGGAAATTTTACTTCCTATAGAATAGGTTAACCCCCTATTTATTTAAAATAAATACCATTTAAATAAATTACCTCCTATAGATATGTTATATGATTTATAGCAATATTTCTAATTTTGGGTATCTCCTACACTTGAGGCATTTTTCACGCTATATTTTATTTCCCTCTCTCCATTCTCATATTTTCTCTCTCATAAACACTTGTTTTCCATACAACTTCTCAATACAAGTTCACCCTCTCTCTAAATTGATACAATATATTTTTCATTCCAAACCCCTCTGTAATCGCACTAAAAATCAAAATTCTCCTAACCCACAACGCTGCTTCCTCCTTTCCCAATCTCGGGTAAACCCTAATTCGATATTTATTGTACTGATTTGTTTCTATAAGTAGTACGGTAAGCAATTTTATTTTTTTTGATTTTTGCCATTTTTGTTTATTCTCAACATCTCTACTTACCAAATTGTATCTAATCAACAGTACCCAAGTCGTATTCTCACAATGTCTGAGAGTATAACCCGCAAGTTGATTACTAGAGGTGTACCCACTAAAATTCTCAATTTCGTTGGTCCCTCTTTCTCATTGCAAATCACTCAAGGGAAATTGGATGCAGGTTTAGCCAAAAATATGGCTTTGGAGAAGAGAACAAAAGCTCGACATGAAAATTTCAAAGAAACCCAAGTCGAGAAATCAATGAAGGAGACAAGAATGGAGAAAACGAAAAAGAGGAAAATCCATATCTCTGAAGCTTCATCTGTCAAGGGGAAAGAGGTTGAAGCAAGTAAAATCTCAGATAAAGTTGAAGAAAAGGTAATTTTCTGACGTATTCTTCTTTATTATTAATGTATTCAGTTGTATTTATACGTATGTATATGTATTCTGATGTATTATTATAGTTGTATTTTTAAAGATTTTCAAGGTTCCCATCACTGTATTTTATTCTACTTTCAATGTATTTATTTTATTGTTTGCAAATGTTTAATTTTCCAGTATGTATTTAGTTGTATTCATATGTATTCATGTTAATGATATTTTATGTCATGTGTGTTGTATGCAGTTGTTTTTATATGTATTTAGACTTGTCAGTGTATTTAGTTAGATTCGTATGTATTCATGTCAGATTTACTGTTAAATATGTTGTGTATTCAGTTATATTTATACTTCTAAGTGTTTGAAGTTGTATTCAATTATTCATATGTATTCATGTCAAATTTACTGTGAAATATGCATTGTATTAAATTGTATTTATATGTATTTATTCTTGTTAAATGCAGGGAATTAAGTTTTTTGTGAAACACCAGCCAATATTTGCACTGCATATCAGTGTATATACTAACACTAACATAGTCTCCGAGCTAAAAGAGAACCTTACTCCAGAGCAGTACAAACAGCTAGGTAATACTTGCTTTGGAAATTTTCTTCAAATGAAGCGTTGTGAAGTCCAACATCAACTCTTCAGATGCTTCATGGCTCTCCAGTTAGAAGGAACTCCTAAAAATATATTTGCAATACACGTCAATGGTACTTCATTACATTTCACATTAAGGGAGTTTGCGCTTGTGACTGGCCTCAAATGTGTTGGTAATGATGTTGATTTTGAGTTTAGTGAAAAAGTTCCTAATCGGCTTATTGAGACTTACTTTGGAGGTGTTAATCTTGTCAAGAAGAAACATTTGATGAAATGATTTGCTGACAAGAACTGGGGTCCCAACAATTATGGGGATGCCTTGAAGATATCTTTGTTGTATTTCATACACACCTTCATTTTTTCATTTGAGAAGAAAAATACAACCATACCAAGGCTACATTTTGACTTGGTAGAGAGTGGGCGTTATTCTGAATATCATTGGAGTTTAAAAGCATTTGAAACACTGACAAAATCGATTACCAAGAAGATGGATGCTCACAAGAAGTATTACAGGATAGCTGGGATGCCCCTAGCTATACAAGTGTGGTTTTATGGGTGTTGTTCAGATGTCGATCCCAAAATTGCACTCCGGGTTGATGACGTGGTCCCCAGAATACTCAATTGGAGAACCACCGGAAATCAGCCAAACTTTGCTTATCTGATGAACGGCATGTTCAATGACAACGGAAACATGGTAATATACAATTTGTATCATGGTTAGTTTAGATTTTATTAATAATTAATTCTGCATACATTTGCATACAGAAGTATACAATTGCATACAAATACATTTTTGATGCTTTAATACATGCTGTAGTTTCTGATGTAGTTTCTGCTATAATATTTGTTGTCATATTCTCACATGTATGCTGCATACAATTACATACAAATGCATACAGATTTTGCTTACATTTGCATACAGAAGTATACAATTGCATACAAATACATTTTTGATGCTTTAATACATGCTGTAGTTTCTGATGTAGTTTCTGCTATAATATTTGTTGTCATATTCTCACATGTATGCTGCATACAATTACATACAAATGCATACAGATTTTGCTTACATTTGCATACAGGAGACTGCATACATTTGCAGGGGATGCACACAGCAGTATACAGTTGCATACAGTTGCATAAATATGCTGCATACACTTGTATACAAATGCATACAGAAACTGCATACATTTAAATATAGCTACCGCAAACATTTGCATTCATATACATACAGCAATATACAGCTGTTGTAGCCTTCATTATTAATTCTTCATATAATTGCATATTATTTCCCAATCATTAGTGCTGCTTTAATTTCAATAGAAATTTCAGTTTGATTCCAGATCTGCATGTGTATGTTTGTAGTAAGACTTTGATTGTATTTCGTTTTTCAGATTGTTTACAAGGACATCCATCCAAGCGATATAGAGCTTGCCGTTATTCAGATTCCTCCTGTAGGCACTGATGTTGAGAACAAACCTACTCTTGCTCATTCAGACAAGTCGGGAGAGGATTCGGACGACTTTTCTCCTACACCCAATCTTCAATGTAAGAAGAAACATATTGCAAGTATTGGTCTATCTTCATCACCGCCCCATAAAAAGCGCAAGGAACCCGAAAGGCATCCTAATGAAATAGAGTATCAATCCAAGATTCCTCTTGTTTGTGTATCCGAATTTGGACAAAATGTTTTGCATGACAATAAGCTGCCAAATTCCAAAAATGACGAAGTATCTTCTTTGAGGAAAGACCTAAATTCATTCAAAGAATACGTGAGTATTTAACCACATATTAAACATTACAGTTTAGTGCTTAACATTCATATATATTTGGCGCAATCTTCTAATTATTTCTGTCTTGTTAAGGTTGTGGGAGAGTTCAAGTCTCTGAGAGCATTTATCAATGATAACTTCAAGATGCTTTCTGACCATCTTCAACAAAATCAGCAAAATAAAAGTTTACACTAGAGAAAGGAACCCATAGGAAGACGTGATGATGGTATTGACACAGATGTCGGAGATAATGTTGAGGTTTAACATTTTTAACATCTTTAGCATTTGTTTATATCTCCAGTTTTCTGTTATAATTAAATAATTGTATTTTAAAAGTTTTATGTATTCGACAAGCATTTAACTGCCTCATTAAAATGATAAATGTATTTGACCAACTCATGTATTTAAATGTATTCATATGTTTGTTAACCTTAATATGTAATTGGAATTAACTGCTGTATTTAAATATATTCAGCCGTATTTTAATATATTCTGATTTGTTAATCTTGAATATATGTGTTGTATTTCACTAAGATTTCCATTACCAAAATATATTTTCTTACTGTAATTATATGTATTTAACTGTATTCTTAGACCAAGTTACTACACTAACAATAATACATACAACTAATAGAAACCAGTGCTTAATGCTCAATGTGTGGAGTCAAGAGGTGAGGGGAATACTACATCAGAGGTGCAGTGCAACATACCATCTACAGGTCAAGAGGGTGTATCTACAGAATTCTATGTATCTCAATTTGAGCTGGACAGCAAGTTTCTTCCCAGTCAAATTCCAGAAACTAGAATTGTGATACACAACAGTGCAAAAAAGCTGAATCAACCCCAGTACCATCTCATAGGAATCGACGACCAAGTAGATGGTATTCTTCGCCTTATGAGTCTAACTTCGACTCCGCAGGTTAGTTTTCTTATAAACTAAAGATCTATTTCCTCATGGTTTTTAAATTTAAAAGTTCTACTCACGAATTCAATGAACAACAGGTACCTCAGTAAAGTTGACCCCTATTTTTGGAAAAAGACACCCCTTTTAGGATGATTCAATAGCAGGGCCACATCCTACATTAATCATTCAGGAATATGACAAATGGGTTCGTGATGGTCTTTTCGCTAGACATGATCAGAGGTTAGTTTTCCCCCGGTATGTGTATTAAGTTTTTATATTTTAAAAAATGTATATAATGTTTTTTATATCATACTTGTAGAAGTAATTTGGAAGACCATTACAAGAAGAACAAGTCAACACTTCATATACCATTGGATTTTGGAGTTGATCAAGTTAATTCAAAAAATTGGTTTTACCTTCTATCGTTTGACGGGAAGCTATGGGATGACAACGTAAGTTTTTCCCCTAACTGACTAATTTTCTTTGAATAACAACATGCATTTGATTGTATTCTATATTTCAAACACTCTATATGATGAAATGTATGATGAATGCAATGACATCATTATTCAGCTATAGTCAGTGTTATTAAACTGTTTTAATCAGCTGTAGTCAGTTGTATTTTTCTTGCTCTCAGCTGTATTAAGTTGTTCTCAACTGTATTATTCATATGTATTTCTCTGTATTCAACTGTATCATTTAGCTGTATTCAGTTGTATTTTTTTTTTGCTTTCAGCTGTATTCAGTTGTTCTCAACTATATTATTCATATGTATTTCTCTGTATTCAGTTGTATTCAACTATAGTCAGTTGTATTCAACTGTTTTAATCAGCTGTAGTCAGTTGTATTCAGCTATTTTATTCAGTTGTATTCAACTGTATTATTCAGCTAAATTCAGTTGTACTCAACTGTATTATTCATATGTATTTCTCTATATTCAGCTATATTCTTTAATAGTTTGATTAATTGGACTCACACCGTGTAATTAAATTTGTGTATAGCATATTGACGTCATATTCTACTATCTGAGAAAGAAGGGAAAGTACAATCAAAAAAGCAACTTCAAGTATACAATTGTTGATTGTATATTCAAGACAAGAATCGCTGAAATCTTCGACAGGTATACTGATACAGATAGTAATGCTAATGTAGCCAAAGAAGAGGATGTGGTATTTGAGTACATAAGGGGCTACAGATTGCTAGCAAATGTACCTTGGCATACTGTGGATAATGTCTTGATACCAGTCAACTTGAAGGACAAATTACACTGGGTATTGGCTGTTGTCTCATTCAAGGAGAGATATATCAAAGTGTATGACTCGTATCATGATGCATATATAGCTTCTGAGATTGATAAGCTAGCTAAGCGTGTACCTCTGTATCTATCAATCAGTGGCTTTTACAGAGATAGTCAAGGCATAGATTGGTTTACTTACTCAGCATACACTGACAAGTCACATAATGATCCCTTTGAAGTTTTTTTCATATCAGATCTGCCTCAACAGAAAGCTGGGAGCATGTAAATATTCAATCATCATTCTTGTATGTTATATACAAATCTAATTGTATGAATTATTTTTAATTTTTTCAATCAATTATTTTTTAGGGATTGTGGGGTGCATGTTGCGGCATACGCAGAGTTTCTAAGCACTATTGGTGAGATTCCACAAATAACATTTGATTCCAATCTACTCTGTCAAAGATATGGTGCTCTCCTCTGGGACTATGCTATGCAGAAGATAGATGCTGATGCCATAAGCGAGAATGAAGCACCCTCAAAGATTGTTAGGCAAATCACGGAGTCAGATTCAAAGATGCAGATAGTGTTAGAGTAGCTTTAGGTTAATGTAGTTTTGGAATGTAGTTTGAAGAAGAATATTGTTTTGAGTAGTTTTTTGGTGAAGATGGTATTTAGTTATAAAAACTTATCACTTTATCAACAGTGTTCGTGTATGACAATTGCAACTTTTCAATCGTTGTTTCACTGGTTTGTTCATAAGTATTCGTGCTTATTTTTCAGTTTAAATTCATATGTATCTTACAGGATTCAAGTATGTATTATTCAGTAACTTGCTTGAATAGGTTTTAGGTATTGAACATGTTAATATCAAAGTCAGAAACTTTATGTATTCTGATGGTAGGTTATATTAAAGAATTCAGATGTATTTTTCTGGATTCAGGTGTATTCAGTTGTATTCAACTGTATTATTAAGATGTATTCAGTTGTATTCAGCAGCATTCATTTATATGTATATTTCAAGTTCAGTTAATACATACTCCCTCCGTTTCAATTTATGTGAACCCATTTGACTGGGCACGGAGTTTAAGAAAAGAGAGAAGACTTTTGATCTTATGGTGTAAAATGAAGCACATATATTTTGTGTGACTATAAATCATTCTGTAAAGGTAAATTGTTCCAAATAAGGAAAGGAGTCATTCTTTTTGGCACGGACTAAAAAGGAAATATGTTCACATAAATTGAAACGGAGGGAGCATTAAAGAATACAAATTTAGATGTATTAAACAGTTTATACGTATTCAACTATAGTCAGTTGTATTCAACTGTTTTATTCAGTAGTAGTTAGTTGTATTCAACTATATTATTCAGCTGTATTCAATTGTATTTTTTTGTATTCAGCTATATTCAGTTATACTCAACTGTATTAATCATATGTATTTCTCTGTATTCAACTATATTTCTTTGTATTAAGCTATATTCTTTAATATGTATCTTTCAAATTCAGTTAATATTTGTTAAAGAATATAAATTCAGATGTATTAAACATGTTATTGTTGAGTTAGAGAATATAAATTCAGACTTATTGAAATTATTATATTACAACTGAGTATATAGATGTATTCCGGTGAATTCTGACTAGTTATGTATATAACTCAGGCACTGTCTATAATAAACTGTCAAAGTATATGTAGATAAGGTTATATTCGATTGTATCCAACACATTAAGGTAACTATATGTATTCAGAATCTATTCACGAAAGTCATTTCTGAAATTATTACTTGACAATGAGAATTTATTACTTGACAATGTCATCATAAGTATTGACAAATCGTTGAAACACCAATACATGTTAGAGTGTTAACTATTTATTACGTGGAGCATTTCTACACGTTCACTTGTTATGTCCTCCCTGCCCACATATGCTACATGAATGTTGACTTTTTGGCTGCAGCAATTCACTTAAAGGTTTATTGCGCTTCTTCTTTGGCTTTCCAAGAGGTTTTTTCCATTTGGGTGGTAGTACAACCTCCTCTGCAACATGTGCTGGTATATTCCAGTCATATCTGTCTGGTAGCGGGTACACATGCACATCGTATGTCATTACAACAGTATTTGATTTGTAATAGTTAGAGCAATATTCTTCTGGCATTAGAAACTTGCTCTTCAATACAGCCCAAGCATGTGGGCATGACAATTCATCAACTTGGAACCTCCCACAAACACATTTTCTCTCTAACATGCAGACTGTGTAATTCCTCCCTCCATCGTTAACCGTATGTAAGTATTCAGTTGATGGTACCACCTACATTTAAAAATAGAAATATAAGTTTTGAGCACATATAACTAAATTATCATATGTATAATGTTGAATTACTCAGTTACATACAACTGAAATATTTGCATACAGATGAATACATATTATATTTAGACCAGCAGACTATTAACTGTAATTAGTGCAGAACTTATCAAAAGTCTGTTGTACTTTAGGCAGCAGGAGGCTAAAAAAACATTAGAAGGATACGTCATGACAATACATATTAAAATTATATATAATACAGATTTGTTAGTTGTATTCTGATGTATTCGAATAGTTTTTGCAGCATGTTTTTAGTTATATTCAGTTGTATTCATATCAGATCTTCGAAAAAATATGTCTTTTATGTGTTTGAATTTAGTTGTATTCATATGTATTCATGGTAGTTGTATTTTAAAAATGATTGTATTCAGTTGTATTCATGCCATTAATTCAGAAAACAATTAAGCTATATACTACAATGACATTAAAATATAACTTACAGTCATACGTGGACATTGCCTCATTCAAAGTATGCATCTCCTGGTATTTTTCTCCAAGCGTCGTGTATGTCTGTGTAGCTTCTTTGCGGTTACTACAATTCCAACGTCCAAACATCTTCCTAACTTCTTTGAGAAAGTTGTATATTGGCAATTCCATTGCTGAAACTAATGCGGCATTGATTGACTCAGCAATATTTGACGTCATTGTCCGTCCCCTGTTAACAGGTGCATACAACCTAGCCCACTTTTCGTATCCAGCTAACTCTAAGTATTCTTTCACCCTAATATCTACCTTCTCCACCTTCTCCATTAGACTGTCAAATTCAGCTTGTGTGTATGCTTTTGCCATCGAGAAGTATATCTCGCTCAACTTGGCATGACTCCTTTTGAATTTCTTATATACGTTGTTCCATAGATGCCATATACAAGCAAATTGTGGTACATTTGGATACACTCTCGATACAGATTTAATGATACTCTCATTTCTATCTGAAACGATGCACATGTTTTCCCTGTCACCGTATGCTATCTTGAATTGCTCAAAGAACCACGTCCAAGCAGCATCGTTCTCTGAATCAATAACACAATATGCTAGTGGCAATATATGACTTGTAAATACAATTGAATACATATTTTTAGAACATGTATTTCAACATTTAAAATATTAACAGATTGTATTATAATTCAGATACTCACCTGCACCATCCAGCGTGCTTGCCGAAACAAATGTCCCGGTGTAGTAAGATTTTAGGTGACTTCCATCCACAACAACAATGGGTCTACAATGATCAAACCCCTTTATAAAAGCATACAAAGATATATACACGTACATGAATTCACTTTTTGGCGATTTTACCATTATGATGTGGGAACCTAGATATGTCATATCCATTGTATAGAAGTATCCTCGTAATTTTTTGTATGAATCAGTCGGTTCACCTCTCAAAAAATTCATTGACTTTTCTTTAGCCCTCCACGCCAACATGTAGCTAATGTCTACACCTAAATCTGATTTCACATCATCAATAATATCCTTTGGGGTGTATTTCCTCTTATAATTTGTAAGCTTAGGCCTTATCATACCACATATAAGGCTGTTTCTTGACTGCCGCTGCTCATACACCTTGTCCTTCAGCGGATATGTATGGTTATCAATGAATTCTCTCACTTTGAATAGTTCTGATTTGTTAATGCTTGAAGCCTTAAACCTCCATTCACAATCTTCTGAAATACATGATAATGCATAACTGCAAAGTATTAATCATTGTACATATGATTAGCATAAGTGTTTACAAAAAAAATTCACTCATATACACACGAATACAATCTGATTATTTTACATACTGACATCTATATATATAAATCTTTATACTACTGAATTCTATTATAGTTATATGCATTAAATACAATGAATACAACTGAATACTATTTTGGGTATATGCATACACTTAAAACCACAATAGACAAAATAAGAAAATAATTAGAGCCACTGTAATGTAATTATACCAGTAAAATACATATGAATACATGTATTCAAGGACCATAAACAAACATATGTTAACTACATCTATGATAATCAAGAGGAAATCCAAAAATACACATAAATACAACAACGTTAAACTTACAACTCGAATCAATAATAGAAAATACAAAAAAAAAACTTAAATACATGCAAACCTGACAGCATTAGACCTATCAACCCGGAATTCAAACCTTTGAGCTATAGCATAATTCTCCATCACCTCTTTCAATGTAGCCTTATCCTTATACACTTGTCCAGCCATAACCTCCCTTTAATTAGTTTGTGAAATTATCAAATCCTTGTGGAGTTCGAACACTCCAATCACTTCTCCTGAATTGACAAAATCTAGAGTCAGTGTATTATCTGTATCGGAATCGTACCTTTGAACTGCTTCGTCTATTTGCACAATGTCGCCTTGATTTAAACTACCTCCGAATACAAGTTCTTTTTCAATAGTTGTTATGCACAAAGGATACATACCAAATTCTCTGTTCTCTTTTTTCAATTCTACATACACTCTGTAACCATATCATTGTGTATTTCCATTGGCGTGCAATTTTCTTCTACTTTGTATTGAATTTTAATGGACTTTGAGCTCAAATCTATACCCAGTTGATTAGAAATTGAAGCAACCAGATCATTAAAGGAGGCATACTCCTTTATCAGTATTTCCTCAATTGAAAAATCGATGTAATTGCCCTCATCGTTCGGAATAACGCAACAACACTGTTAAACTTGTCATATGTATAAAAGGAACTATACCGTATTTTGTATATAATTTGTATCAATCTAATTTTCCGTTGTTGAATTGATATCTGCGAACAGAGAAAAAGGAGAAGTGAATGGAAGAACTTCGAACAGATGTTGCTCTGGTTTTCGCTGTTTTTTTTAGCTTGAATCGTGTATGGCAGAATACAGATTAATGGGTACTAGTTTTTGTTCGTTAAGTTAAGTTAGGAGAATATCATGTGATTGGATTTCCTTCCCATTTTAACTAGTTTAACCTTCCAGATTTTGCGCAGATACGTTACTGTATTCACGTTAATGCCGCGTGAATACAGTTAAATACATATCAACCTTACCTGGAATTCCCTTTTTAACACCTATTTTTTCTATTGTATTAATGAATACAATAGCTTAAATACATAAAATACATTATATAAAAACATAAAAGGTATCTATAACACGTAATATAACAAAATGTATCTATAAATGGCTAATTAGACCTAAAAGTGGTGTTTTATGAAAAATTCTCTTTAAGTTACTAATATTAATGGTTATAAAACTTATTGGAACATTCAAAAGTTCTAAGTCTAACCTTGAAATAATATCTTAAAAGATAAAATTATGAAAAAGTTTAAGAAATATTTATAAATTACATCACAATAAGTATATTTATTTATTAAATATATCTAAAATTTCTATATATGTGATGTTGGGTTGGGTTGGTTTCGGTTTGACTTTCTTTAGTTAAAACCAAACCAAACCAATTATGGTCGGGTTTTTTTCCAACACCAAATCAAATCAAACCAAACCATAGTCGGTTTTTTTTTTCTCAATTTAACTTAGATTATCGGATTTGTGCGGTTTGTCGGTTTCCTTTGTACACTCCTATTTATATCTGCGTATCTGGTTCACTTTTGAAGTAAACTTAATAGAATTTATGCTCTATTAGAGCTTGTATTTAAGTGCATTTTTATCCAAATAGTACTGTTATTTTAGTTCTAACTGGTAACAACACAAATTTAATACTTCATTACAGTCGCGCAGCCTGGTGCTCGAAGCGTCCTGCATTCACGCAGGGTCTGGGAAGAGCCGCACCTCAAGGGGTGTGATGTAGGCGCCTACCCTATGCAAACATCAGTGACTGATTCCATGACAAGCATTAGTGGCTGATTCTATAGCTTGAACCCGTGACCCATAGGTCACACAGAGACAATTTTAGTGTTGCTCCGAGGTTCTCCTTCAACTTCATTATAGTCGATCACCTTCGTTTTAGCAGCTGATTATCTTTCAAATTCCCATTCACTGTTCATCCTCGAGGAAGACCTTTTGAACTAGACGAGCGTACCAACTTTAAGCACGATACCCTTTCTAGATCTTGTCAAGTTTTTCTGCCTTCACAACCAGATTTGCCTTTGCTATAGCATCCTGGGCAGCAGTGCGATAGTTGAACTGGCATTCATGTTTATCTAAGTAGCGGTGTGATCCAAAGTAAAGGTTACCACCACAGCAACAACGACGACCCAGTAAAATTCCACTAGTGAGGTCTGAGGAGGGTAGTGTGTACGCAAACCTTACCCCTACCCTGAGAGAGTAGAGAGATTGTTTCCGATAGACCCTCGGCTCAAAAAGACGAAAAGAGACAATATATCGGTACCATCAACACAAATCATAGAGAAACAAAAACAAGAAAATAGACGAAAAACAAAACAATAACCAGTAGATAAGGCCGGCATTATGAAAAACGGAAGATAGTAAAGGTTACCACAAGGCATTTAAATCCAGTTATTCAGAAAAAAATCTGCTTTCTAAGTACTCTACCAACTGGTAGACAAGAATGCTCGGACTCTTCAAAAATGTAGTTGAGTGCGTGTCGGATCCTTTAAAAGTAGTGTATTTTTTGAGGATCCGATACAAGTACGGTAATATTTTGAAGAGTCCGCGCAACATACACTACTAGAAATCCAGAAAAAAAGCGACCAAAATTTAGCGACCAAAATTGATCTGTGGGAAAAAGCGATCAAAGTTGGTCGCTAAACTAGCGAAAATAATAAAATAAATAAAAGAAACAAAATAGCGACCTGGTCGCTACTTGGTTGCTATATTAGTCAAAATATTGACTGGACTGGTCAGACTTTCTTGGTCAAACATTTACTGAGATTAGTGACCAATGTTGGTCGCTAAAGTGGGACCCACCTACAAAATTTTAATAATTATATTATTATTTTAAAAATATTATAAAATATAAATATATATAATATAAAAATGGCGACCAACGTTGGTTGCTACTTAAAGGGTAGGCAGATACCGACCAACTTTGGTCGCTTAAATGGGGACCAGTTATACAATTTTAATAATTATATTATTAATTTAAATATTATATAATTAAATCTGATTTAAATATAGCGACCCACTTTGGTCGCTAAACTAAATTCTTGAATAAATAGCGACCAAAGTTGGTCTCTATTCAGGTCAACAATGGTCAAAATTAAAAATCACTTTTGTATTTACTATCTAAATAATATAAATATAAGCCGTTAA